TATTCTTTTTTTCCTTTTTTTTTGGGTCGGGTCCAATCAAGTACAGTCAGGTCCGGATCCCTTTTTTTTCAGGTTTAGATCCAAGTCCAACCAAACCAACCTGCCCATTGCCACTCCTATGGGATTGGTACCTGAATACACTGGTTTAGTTTCAACTGATGTTTTATCTTAAAAGAGAAAAAATATTAAACTGTACAAAAAAATCACATTATTATAGAAAAAATTCATGCAATATTTTCAAGCCAAAATGACAATAATATATTTCCTAAATTTCTTCTAGATGTAGTCGAACAATAGCAACGGGCTTCACACGATATATCCAGATGCTACCCAAACAATACTAATTCATTTCTAGGTAATGTATTACTTCAGTAATGTATCACGCTAGTAATGTATTTCACATATAATATATTTCTATGTACCCAAACAGCCCCTTAGGTAATTATTAAAGGACAAAGTAGAAATTCATGATAAAAAAAAAAAGAACATTTATTAATTATAATGGAGAATGACATCACCACATGGAGCATTAAAGGCTACTAAATCTTTATAAAAATATCCATCCTCCCCTCATAATGACCAAAAATACCCTTGTTAAAAAACATTTGTACTGCCAAGCAAGAGTAAAGTAGCGTCGAAAAAATATTGAGTACATTTAGTAAATACTCACATGTATGTGTACCCTAATATAATCCTTTCCGACATTCTAAAGGCTGCAGTTTGTATAGGGTTGAGGCTCTAAACAATCAAAATAGAGCGCACCTTCAAATAGTATCGAGAAATGTGGTTTCAATACTTGGAATCTTTGTGATAGCCTTAAAATATAGTTTCATCTCTAATTATAAAATTTAAAGCTTCAAAAATACTGTAGATCGAGCGGATCTATGAAAAATTGAAAAATCTAAAAAATTGACGGTCTAAAAATGCATTACAAGATGCACTATTCCCAAAACTTGAAATCTATTTTTTTTCTCATGTCCATACATCTTGATGTCAAGATGATCAATATGAGGATATTTGGGCATCAAAACAACCTCTTCTAGTGCAAATTAGATACCCTCGGCTCTATATAAACTTTTTCCTATTATAAAAGAATGGTATACTAAAATACCTTTTATTTTTGACATGGAGGTGAAAAAATTTCCTTTCTCACGATGAGCTGACTCAATGGCACATTCCTCATCGCCAGCAGCTTGATTTTGAATCTAAGGGTGCTAGCGACATCCTTGAAAGTAAAATGGTGCATGCTTCCTCAATCTAAACACTTTTTTTTCACTTGGGGTCTGTTTGGGTACCTGGATTGGACTATCCCTGGTATTAGGTGGAATAAAGCTATCCACATTTTTGGCTTGAAAATGTGGATTGGCCTATCCACGGGATGATCCAATCCGCAAGATTTGCTACCCAAACAAGGGAGTCGGCGTAAAAACCTGGATAGGCTTATCCCGGATAGCTGAATCCAGGAACCCAAACGGCCCTTACGGAAATAAGAAGATAAAAAAGAAGGGACACACATGGATGGTTGGGATCTTTCAGAAGAACGCGATACCACATCTGACCCGTCCATTCAAAGGCGGCGAAGTATGAATTACCTGAAAGAAGATGTCGGTGGGTATTCTAAGAAGCTTCACGGTCCTAAAGGCCACCTTGTCTGCAAACGATTTTGGCACGTGGTGCTTCGAAAGATCGATCGACAAATCCGGCGTATACGCATCCCATGGCTGCCAACAAAAGAAAATTTCACCGGAAAACTCAGATTTCCGGCCAATTCATAATTTCTGGTAACAGGAAACACCATGACTAATCCAAAGCTACAAATACCCACTCGAAAACTCAGATTTCTCGAGGCCAATAATTCAAAACAAAATGAGTAAACCCCCATTTCAATAACTCAGATTTCTCGAGGCCAATAATTCAAAACAAAATGAGTAAACCCCCATTTCAGTAAACCCCCATTTCAACAAAATGAGTAAACCCCCATTTCAGTAAACCCCATTTCAACAAAATGAGTAAACCCCCATTTCAGTAAACCGGCGTATACGCATCCCATGGCTGCCAACAAAAGAAAATCTCACCGGAAATCTGAGATTTCCGGTGAAGTCATAATTTTCTGGTAACAGTAAACACCATGACCAATCCAAAGCTACAAATGCCCACTGGAAAACTCAGATTTCTCGAGACCAATAATTCAAAACAAAATGAGTAAACCCCCATTTCAATACTTATTTGAAACAAAATTGGAAAGAAAGCCATTAGAGTGACTGAAAAAAAAAAAAAACACGAAACTTTACTCACTTTGAAGCAATTCCATGGCCATAAGGTCCCATCCTTTTTTATTATCTTCTGGTTCATAACACCCCAATAACTGGAGACCACCACGCCTGTTTCCTTCGGCCGATCAATCTCCTGCTTCTCGGCGCCCGAAACTGACTTCTTTAGCGAGTTGGGGTTTGGTATCTCACTTTGAGAGGCTTCGGTGCTTAGGAACCTTATGAATGTGGATTTGAAGAAGAAATAATCAATTGAAGCTGAAGAGTTTTGCGCAATATGGCCATTAGAGAGATGGCCGTTGTGGAAGGTTAAGGTTTTGGGGTGGCTGTAGTTGATGAAGCCATGAACCAGAGCTCTTCCTAACTTAAAACTCTTCATCTTCCTTTTCTCTTCTCTCTCTTTTGGAAATCTGTAATGAAAAGGGTACAAATGAAGATATTCGAATAGCTTGCATCAATGGATCAAAATTGCAGAGATGGAAGTGGGAGAGAGAGTGAGGTTTAAGTTGGGTGTGCGTGGCCTTTAAAGGCCTTGCTCGTAAAATGAAATTCTAAACTCGAACGTGAACTTCGTGAGAGTGTGGTCCTCGTAGACCATGCTAGCAAATGATCGCTTGCTGATACAGATATGTACTTAAAGATTTAGGTCAGTTAGTTAGAAAAAATTAATGTTATTTAGAAATGAAGAACGAATCGATGAGGGTTTATGGGTTAGCTTTTGATGAGGTTGAAAAACATGTCTGGATGAGTGAACCGATGGACGGTGTGACCTTTATGTGTGATAGTGGCCTACTGAGACGGGGCAAAAACCTCATCCATGTTCCATTACATGGTATGCATTTTGGTAGTTCGTTCGAGAAAGTCAGATATCCACCTTTAGGTGCAGTGTATGCATGTGCGAGAGATAACCATATGTGTCATAGAGTTGTGGTCGCATCAGGTCATAGTGACCTTGACTCGTCTCTAAGGGAAGACATGTAATCCACAGATTGGGATTGCGACCTTTTGATTCATCGACCTGACTTTGGTGACCTGCTAATGAACCTTTGCTTAGACTGTGGGTTATTGGAAACACTGGGTCGGTTCGATAAAGCTAATGTGGTCTTTAGTCCACAGTTGAAGGTGGCGTACCCCATTAATACAGATTAGACTCTTAAAACCATATGGATCTTTTTCTCATCATATTAATTTAATTGTGTTCATTTTATTATTTAAATGATTTTAGTTTTATTATTTAAATTTTATGAATCTCTCAATATTTCATTTGTGATTTTTGGACTTATAAAAATACAGTTATTGTTTTTACAAAGTTATAAAAATTCAAGTATATATTTTAAATTGTTTTATTCAATTTTAAAAATAATATTTTTTTTATAATATTTTAGGGGGGGCTCATAGTGCACATGGGCCCACCATGTGGCATGTGGGTGGGGGCCCACATGTACCACAAAAGGACGGCACGCCTCACCCTCTTTGGATTCTCTTGTGTGCTATTAAGATAAAGTTAGTTTAATTTGTGCCATGTGGTCAAATCTTTGAAAAGATATATTGACCATAGCTTTATCTATTTTGTAGTAAGTTTGTTTTAAAGAGATATTGTTAATTTGAATTGATATAGATCTTATCTTATCTATATTTGGTAGAATTTATCTACTTGATATTATTTGATATATCCTTATGGAATATGTGACATGGATCGTGCAATTTGATAGAATGCATGATATTTATTTTATTTAAATATATTGATAGGAAAATGGTTTAGGAAAGGGGAATAATGGTTCATGCGTTTTTCATAATGTTGATGGCCCATCTATGGAATGAATGGCTCAAATCTCTCACCCTACAAGTCACCCTTGATCGACAGTCTATGTTCAATCTCACAAGAAGAGGCAAGCTAAGGAAATCCCTACGAAACCCTAATATTATTCAAAGCCTATAAAAAGGGATTGTCTCTATCCAAAAATCTCTACACTTTATCTCTTGTACCTAATTCTCATTTTCTCTCTCATATCCCAAAAAGGGGGCCCGCACCATTCTCTTATGTTTGATCTCTCTCTCTCATATTGTGAAATAATCTAAGAGTTTAAGTTATAGAGTTCTTCTCTCCAATCTCTCAAATATAGATTTACGGCTAAGGGTTTAGGGTTTAGCAAAAAGAGAATTCATCTCTCTCAAACTAGGTTATTAAGCGAATTCACTTAGGGCATGAGTTTGTGATCAAAGGGATTCATGTTTCATTGGTGTGGCTTGACAGAAATTTGTTTTTTTGATTCGAGATTGAAGCTAGACCGTTGATCCCACGTCATCGGATGGTGAGGACTCGGTGTGGGGTGTAATAAGCCCGATTGAGGTAATCTCCGGCACTCTTACTTTTTTGTTTCTTGCAATCTTATCTTTTATTCTTAAGCATAGTGCACAGTTGTTTCAATGCCATC